TACAATGTTTCTGTTTTAGCGTCGAAATTTTAAACTTAACATTTGGGCTCATCAGCCTATATCGGCCTTAAAACCGACTCTTAACGTCTCCGAGTCTCATCAGCAGGCTTTGTTTTGGGCCTGCTCAACAAATGCCGCTGATTTGGCCCCGGTGTTTATCGGCACGAGAACGCCCCACGAACGGAGTCGAACCCGTTCAGTGCAGCGCAGGCGACATTTGAACCTTGCTAGAGATGGCACAGGAGGCGGCCAACCCCCCCCCCCCCCCCCCCCCCGTGGGATCTCTCGATCTGCAATGCGCAGCGATGAGCGACCACCCCTACAAAGACCGGTCACCGCATCGATTTCAGAAACGTTTCCGCGGGCCGTCTGGAACGCTCTTCCTCCCGACATTATGAAGCCACTGGTAGCGGTGCACTTTTAAATAATCTAGATTGACAAACTCGCTTCTTTAGAACTGCTTTTTGTGTTCAGTTGTCCCTAGCACGGTTGGCTACGTACGGTGCGAAAGAAGTTCAACATACATACGCACATACATAACAGATCGCACAGGATGAGGGGGGGGGGGGCTAGGTGGTGAACAGTCAGGGGAGCAGGCTTAACTATAACCATGCTCCAGCGTTTAGGCTTCCCGCGTTCACCACCAACCCGCACTTAGCAGCGTCAAGACAAAGATTCCCCGTATAGCCTCAACAGACTGTTGGGGCAAGTGCTGTTAGCATGCACCTATGATGGCCGGCACGGCACACGAGGGGGTGGGTGGCCAACACCACGCCCGGCAGTCTTTGTCTCCCCAGCGGCGATCTTTACGACACACCGCACCCACAGGCACTCATTTGAGGCCAAGTCGACCCAGGGGTGGCCCAGAACCGGTTCAGATAATCGTCACTGGTGTTGGCCGTGAGCGGGACTCGAACTCGGGACGCCGGGTTCGTAGCGCAGCGCGCTTAACCCGGACACAACGAGGGGACAGTGGTGGTGGCGGTGGGGGGTGGGTGAGTCGGTGTTGTCGGAACCACCACGCGCCCGGCCGCCTTTGTCTACCGATGCTAATTAATTCAGAACTCCAAGGTGCTCAGTGCATGCCGGGTCGCCCGAGTGGAAGCGGCGGTGTGGTCAGGACCACGTCCGATCGCCTTTGTCTACCCAATGGCGATGTTTACACACCGTGCCAGGTACTCATTTGAGGCATCGTGAGCGGGAATGGAACTCGGGTTTGCAAGGGTTGGAGCTCAACGCGCTAAACACTGCGCCACCGCTCTCCAAAGTTGGGTCACACAACCCGCCACACACGAAACGACACGGCGTGGAGGGAGGGCCTTCATCTAGCAATGGATTTGGAAGATTCGTGTACGTTATTTTCACAATTATTGTTATTGATATTGTAATCATTATTTTACAAAATAATTCACATTTCACTCACGGGAGCAGTAATGTCATTTTAATAGAACACAAAGAACAACAAAAACCCCATCTCAAACATTGAGCTCCAGCCGAGCGCTCATGTTAAGGAATGTTTAACATAATAATTAAAACACAGTAAATGATACATTATTATTGTTACCATCATCATTATATTTATCAAATAATACCCCCCCTCCCTTTCCCGCGACATTTGATGAAATTAACTTTTGTACAAAAATGCTTAAGAAAAAAAATATATCGCTATGTAACACGTTTACAAGAGAAAAGTTATTTAACATCGATACTCCAACAGGCCCGCTCCTCCTCAGTAGTTGTCACTCGTTATAAAATAAACACCATCTCACCCCCGAGTAAAATATTAATTTTTAAACATCTTGGTGCCATCATTGTCACACCGGGTCACACTCACACTCACTCACACTCTCACACTCACACACACTCACACACACTCACACACTCACTCTCACACACTCACACACACTCACACACACACTCACTCACACTCCCCCCCCCCTGTTTAGCCGGATCGATTAATTGAGGGGGGGCAAGCGCTGTTAGCGAGCGCCTATTAAGGCCGGAACGACTCACGATCAGAACCACACCCCGGTCGCCTTTGTCACTCTCAGTATAACGACTGTGTATGTATATCTGTATTTCCAGTGCTGGTATCAATAGGCAGAGTCAACCGAGGGGGAGGGTAGATCTGGCCAGGTTGAGATTCCAGTTGGCCACCACGAAGTCAGGGCTCGAAGTGGGTTCGCTCAGGTCTCAGTAGCACGGTGTCTTCACTATTCATAATGCATCACCCCACCCCCACACTCGCGTAGACGATATAATGTACAAAGAAGACAAAGATCCCCCGTATAGCCTGAACAGACTGTTGGGACAAGTGCTGTTAGCGAGAACCTATAAAGGCCGGCACGGCACACGAGGGGGTGGGTGGCCAGCACCACGCCCGGCTGCCTTTGTCTCCCCATTGGCAATGTTTACTACACACCGCGCCAGGTACTCATTTGAGGCTGAGTCGACCTAGGGGAGGCCCATGACCGGTTCAGATAATCGTCACCGGTGAGCGGGAATCGAACTTCGGGTCGCCAGGTTCATAGCGCAGCGCGCTAACCGCTACACCACCGCTCCCCATAATCACACACACACAGACACACAAACACAGTCGCAGTGGATAGACAATCACTCACGATGACGGCGATGATACACATTTACGTACAAACGACAATTATTACCATTGTGTCGCCACCAAGCGAGGTGCACGTGTTGGGCACGTGAAATGTCGCTCAAAGCTCGACACTCAACACAAACCTATGACCCCCCTCCCCCTCCCTTATGGGATACATAGTCTGTTTAGGGGCAATTGCTGTTAGCGAGCACCGATTAATACAGTAATGGTTGCACGACACACACTACACAACATACCCATTTAAACGTGGGAACGTTCGGGACAAAGTTGGTCCCAACGTGTCAACAACGTTGTGCCAGCAACGTTTTTTGGGCCACAATGATGATTCGACGGTCCCAACCAAAAATGCCAAACAGCGTTGGTTCAGCATTGGCACGCTGCTCGGGTTACACAACATCGCATCGATCATCACGACAAAGACACACTTTGAGGTCCGCGTGACGGGTGGATATATTTGCCCTGAAACTCGCTGTCTCGCGGCCTCTCGCGAGCGGCGAGGTGCCCTTTAGACCCAGCGAGACACAGGTTCTCCCCCCGGTTCGTTGCCACGTTACATTAAAAGAACGAATATAAATATGTACATAATATAATAATGTGTGTATGTCTCGAGACATGTGTGTGGGGGGGGGGGTGATTGTAACTGAAGGACAAACATTATTTGGTCCTATCGGTAAAAATCACGTAGATAGAAAAAACAAAAGTAAAAACAAAACTACGACGTTTCGATCACAACACAAGCGATCGTCATCAGGAGGGGAAAGGCTCCTGAAGGCAACGCTTTTTTCAGGAGCCTTCCCCCTTTTTCCTCCTGATGATGATCGCTTGTGTTGTGATCGAAACGTCGTTGTTTTTTTTAATTTTACTTTTATTTTTTTCTATCTACGTGACTTTACCCAAAGAACCAAGGAATATGAATTCCTGCAGTCACGAAAGTTTCGAGTCAAAATTGAAGGGCAAACATTTCTTGTGTTGCGTGTTATTGTTTTTGTTTGGCGGACAAGTTTGAACGATGGACAATTAAATAAATAAATAGAGCCTCCGTTCGGTGAATTTTCCCTTCCCATGCATAACGCTCCGCCACCACCACCACCTCCACCGTACGATGGCTTGTCGTACAGAGATGAGCGTGCTACCGTTGTGCACAGTTTTATATCAGCAGTGGGACATTCCCCGACGCTGTGGCAGACAGAGGCTAGCTTATCCCTACGACGACCATATTGGGGTATTTAAACATGTCAGTGTAGTGTACTGTTGACAAGTAAACTCGTAATGCACGAATGTACATCAAGTACAGCTCTCTTTGTCAATCCACTGCTGGATTGTGGTGGTGGGGGGTAGAGAAAGCAGAAACGACCTCTTCGATAGGGTACATATTTGGCCTACTCTTCCACACTGGCCAAACGTTTTTGATAGAGGTCCCCACGTTTCAATAAACTAAATGCATTGAATTTTTTTTAACCGTGACTCATCATTGATTGACAGGAGACCCTCCAATCGTACAATGGTGCCAAGGTGTGGCGATCCCAACTTGACATGCAGAGCATGTTGAAACCATTATTTTCTCACGAGTTTTCGCGCGCACACACACACACATTATCACGATTACTAATAATGAATATCCCGTTTAACCCAAGATTATCTCGAATCCTGCTGCCCTCGAACCATAACCCACACGCTCATTGCACGAATAACATTAAAGGCAGAGCATGTAACAGCGTTATTGCGTCGGTTTATGGACTTGCACGTGTTTTATCGTGGGGGATGGGGGGTTGGTTGGGGGGGGTAAAGTGGGGGGAGGGATGATGTTTAAACTTTTGACGAGATTCAACATTAAAACGAAGACATCATACGGGGTTTAACAATGCACATCGAGAGGGGTTTAACGTGTGGGGGATAACGCAGCGCGATCCGTGTATAGATACCCCACCGATTTTGGACGAACCGCTCCCTAATTCTCTCCTCCTCCTACGGCCAACTTGCGATGTCGTGCAAGTGACGGCGCCGCGAGACGCGTAGAGACTTTGGAGGGTAGCGTTGTTGTATTTCTCTGACTTCTCTGTACGGTTTGATTTGGGGGAGGGGGGGTTGGTATCGATAACCAGATCTCCCTGCGTTGTGTTTGGCATGTGTGTGTTCGCGTGTGTGTACGCGTGTGTGTGTGTGTGTCTGGGGAGCGGTAGTGCAGCAGTTAGCGCGCTGCGCTACGGACCTCGCGACCCGGGTTCGATTCCCGTCCACGGCTAACACCCAGTGACGATTATCTGAACCGGTCCTCCCCTAGGTCGACTCAGCCTCAAATCAGTACCTGGTGCGGTGTGTAAAACATCGCCACTGGGGAGACAAAGGCGGCCGGGCGTGGTGTTGGCCACCCACTGCCTCGTGTGCCATGCCGGCCTTCATAAGTGCTCGCTAACAGCACTATACGGGGGATCTTTGTCTTGTGTGCACGCGTGTAATTGCATACGCAGTGTATGTAAATCTCTCTCTCTCTGGCCAGTATCTTCATTACGATTTGGATGTTTCTTGTCCATGAGAGCGAGGACGGTGACGCTGATTTGGCAGTTCGCGACGGTGCAGTGAATCTTCCCGACGGAGTCCTCCCCATTGCCTCCAAGCCCCAGCCTCGCCCTCTGCCCTCTCCACCCCCCATTAGTGGAAGCTCAGCGAGCTGTAGTAAAGTGCGGTGGCGTCCGCGAAGATGGAGATGAGGTTGGAGTCACCGCCGACGGAGGAGGAGGAGGAGGACGCTGACGACGATGACGACGACGACGACGACGAGAGCTGCGACGTCGTCGACATCGCGCCCACGCAGTGGCCGAACGAGGCGGCCGGCACGGAGGCCGCGGCGCTGTCCAGGTACTGATCGAACTCGTCTCTGTCCACGTCCTCCAGGAGGTCGCTGTGGCTCAGGTGCTCCAGGGAGTCGGGCAGGGCGGTCGGGATGGGCTCCGGCGGTGGAGACAGCTGTCCCATGCTGACGGGCGATCCTGGATAGACGTGATGCTGTTGTTGCTGCTGATGGTGATGATGAAGGTGCTGCTGCTGCTGGTGATGATGATGGTGCTGCTGCTGCTGGCTTTGCTGCTGCTGCTGATGATGATGATGCTGCTGCTGATGATCAAAGTTGTATTCACTGAAATAGATGTTGGAACTCAGGGGTGAAGGGTGCATTAGTGCATTCAGCCCACCCGGTTGATGATGATGATGAGGAGCAGGTGGAGGAAGATGATGATGATGAGCAGCAGAGGACGACTGCGCCCCGCAGTCTCCGTAGCCCTGCATCAGAAGACCTCCGTCGTCCGGGGGGAAGAAGGCCGGCTCGTTCTCCACCACGTCCAGGGGTGACATCTCGGGCGTGGGCAAACCATAGCTCTCGGCCATGGCAAACTGATGCGGGTGATGCTGCTGCTGCTGTTGTTGATGCTGCTGCTGCTGATGCTGCTGATGCTGCTGTTGTTGATGCTCTCTGAATTGGCTCATCGATGGCAGAGGTGGAGACAGGGCGCCAACGCTTCCGGCTCCCGCTCCTCCCGCTCCGATGAGTCCGACTCTCTTGCCGAGGGCAGGTTCTCCCTGGAGGACTTCTCCGCCCTCCAGGCGCTTGGCCGCCAGCCTCTTGGCCTGCTTCTTGCGCCGGGGGCGGTATTTGTAGTTGGGGTGTTCCTGCATGTGCTGGATTCTCAGCCGCTCCGCCTCGTCCACAAACGGGCGCTTCTCATCCGCGCTCAGGGAGCGCCACGACCTTCCTGTACACGGGGGAGGAGGACGAAGAGGTGAGAGGTTAGGAGAGGGATGATGGGAAGGGGACAGGTGAGGAGCAACAGCAATAACAGGAGGAGGAGTGATGAGAGCAAGTAGGTGAGAGGTGAGAGGGGGTGAAGATGGAGGAGGATGATGAGTATTTATGTATGTATGGGTGATGGACTTCTTTCGCACCGCACTTAAGCCAACCGTGCTAATCGGCGGTGCAGAAGAAGCGAAGAGGTGGAGGAGGAGGAGGAGGAGGAGGGACCACGACTCACGCAACCATCCGCCAAACCACGACGCACAGGCAGACAAGCAGGCGCGCGCGCCCGCGTGGATCGTGCAAAGCTGCGAGTGTGTTTGAGTGCATGTTGTGTGCCCCCTGTGTGCATTCTAGATGTGTGTGTGTGTGTTGTGTGGATACACAGCACGCGGACTTGCGCGTGTCTTCCTGTTCGTACACGGGCTGTTTGTACGCACACGCGCGTGTGTTTTTATTAATACACCTAGTATCGTCGTCGTCGTCAGCATCATTATTTACGGGCCTTTGTCAATCTCCCGCCGGATTAAAAATGCTCTCCACGCCCGCGTCGATCATGGTGGCTTTACTGACCATACTTCACCACGCTGTTCTGCGCGGGTTGGTTGGTGACATGGAGGGAGACTGGTTCAGAAATCACTCCCCACTGATGTTTAGCCCCGACTGGGAATCGAACTCAAGATGACCAGGTTCGTGGCGCTGTGTTCTAACCAGATTAATACTAAACACTTATTGACGGAAATTAACCAAACATCCTAAAAAGAGTATGGGAAAATATGTGTCAATATAATAATTATAACTAAACATTAACTTATGATACTTAATTCTGCGTTTTAACTTATCCGATTTTGTTTCTGCTGAAATGTGCCATTCCTATTATTAAATCAAATTTTGAATATTGTCGCATTATAACTGTTGTCCTATTGCGACATTGTCTTTTACGATCTTATCCTCTTTCTGAATTTCAACGCATCGCTCTCTACTCGAGTCCCGAGACCCGTCTGTGCTGTCGAGATGAATGCATTTGATCCAGAACCTCCCCTTGAAATGAGATACTTTTGATCTCGACCTGTCGGCACAAGCAAACTTTTTTTTTGTAATTAAGCAATTGCATCTTGTAACCAAGATGAGAGCCCCACTACATATCCTAAGTCTCTTTTTTGTAATATAACAAAACAAATTCTCAAGTTTAAAAACTTTTCTGAACTTGATTGCACCTTCTCTTTCTCGCTCTCGTGTTTGTAGAAGAAGGCGCGCAATAGCACGCGCGCGCCCGCCCACGTCCAATAACAAAATGTGACTGAAAATATTTACGAACGAAAAACAAACGAACAAATCTCGTAAGTTTAAGATGAAACTAAATCAAAAGGCGAAGTGTCACTGCCGCTCAAAGTAGCCAGCGCTCATCCTTTTCGCCTTTTGAGCATGTGTGGAAATTCCACATTTTTACGACAGAAACAAGGCCGTAAATAAACCACACACACACAACCCCACAACCAATAGGGACTTTCCACAAAACGGTACACGTTTTATAGACCCCCCCCCCCGCAGCGATGATGGAACGAGTTCAACTTAATTGTCAACTCCAGTCACCCGCAGTGGTCATTTAAGAATAAAAAGAGCAAGGTAAATGAGCCAGACTTCTGTCCGTCTCTCCGTGTGGAGATGAATCCTTCATACTCTCGAGTCCATCGACTCATCGGCCTTCTGCCACGGTTCAATGCTGTTGTGTTATTGGCAAGCGCCGCAATGGAACCCAAATCACACACATACAACCCCCCCCCCCCCCCCCCCCCCCAACGATATCCCCATCTGCTACTGGCGCAACTTCTTGCTGCCGCACAGCTCTCGGCTGTGCCTGTCGGGTTCTACCGCGCGTTGTTCGGCGTGATGTCCGACGTTTCGCTCCTTAGGGTACCATATGTAAGTTCCCAACACGTCGCGAGAAACGTCGGACAACACGCCGAGCAATGCGCGCGCGCGCCGCACCGAAGACACATCGGAGATACATTGCACGCGTGTTCGGATTGCAGTTGAGTGTGAGCGCGTACGTGACAGCGAGGAGCCGCACCACCGCGCCGTTCTCTTCTCCTACCGCCCACCCCAAATAACTCACCAAGCATCTTGCTCAGCTCGGCGTTGTGAAGGTCCGGGTTCTGCTGAGCGAGCCTCTTCCTTTCGTCTTTAGCCCAGACCATGAAAGCGTTCATGGGTCTGCGTATTCTCGACTCACTCTTCAGTTTCCCGCACGGCTGCTGCTGCTGTTGGTGCTGCTGCTGCTGATGAATATGATTCTGCTGCTGATGGTGATGATGCTGATGTTGATGGTGGTGGTGGTCATGCTGATGAGATACTGGAGCGGTCTGCTCGCCCCACGGGTACACGGCCCCGAGTCTGGGTTGAGGAGGACTGGCGGAGTGAGCGCCCTGCATGGCTGCGCCGAATCGAGAGTTGAGCGACACCGACAGTGCGCACATCTTAGCGCTGTTGCCCTCTCCCCTCGCGTCTCTCCACGGGTTACGCAGGCGGCGAGAGTTGTAGGCGAGTGGGTAGGTAAGCGCTTAGGTATAGCTTAGGCGGGTAGACGGATTGGAAAAAAAAGGTTACTGGGCCACGTGCGTCTCAGGTGCGCGCGTGTGCGCAGCGGTCACAGCTCGAGTGACTGATGGCGTTCACGAGGGGGTCTCAGCCGTATTTATGCATCTCGGTGTGTCCGCGCGTGCGTGTGTCTGTGTGTGTATACAAGTCGGGAAGTTAACTCAACCACCCCTCAATGCGGTGGGGTAGGGCTGCGCATGGGAGGAGAGGGAGGTGGTGATGATGATGATGGGGAGGTTGTGTTGGGGTGTGGTTGTGGGTCAAGTCGACAAGTATGCGTGTTGATTGGTGAGTTCTTACAACTGCACCTCCCTAGACCCTCCCCCCCCCCCCTTTCTCTCTCGGACCCCCCTGCACCCCCTCGTCCTCACCCCACCCACACGGACACCCAAATCCACCCATCACCAGTGCCTCCCACACTCAAACACCCATCGCGCGGACTGCGCACTGCACGGAATATCCACCGCGCGCTTCGGGTTTCAAAACAGTGCAACGAACAAAACAAAATCTCAGTTGCTCGTCGAGCACAGAATCAAAACGCCAAGGAGCCAACAACAAACAGCGCCATCGGAGGTCCTTAGATGAAAGCTGACCAGTGCCTGGGAATTGAGAAAAGTTTGTAAGGAGTTGGGGGGTGGGGGTGGGGAGTAGACTCTGGGGAGGGGAGTCCCAAGGTAGGACAAACAATGCGCTGCGTTACGAACCCGGCGACTCGAGTTCGATTCCCGCTCACGGCCAACAACCAGCGACGATTATCTGGACCGGTGCTGGGGCTCCCCTAGGGTCGACTCAGCCTCAAACGAGTACCTGGTGCGGTGTGTAGTAAACATCGCCACCCTGGGAGACAAAGGCGGCCGGACGCGGTGCTGGCCACCTTCAAGTGGTGCTACACCGCAAATATCACTCGCCCCGACTGCGTGTTAAGGCTTTGCGGGGAGGGGGGGGGGGTGGGAACTTTGTGCGATCGAGCGAGCGAGTGAGTTGTCGTGACCTGCAGTGGTGGTTGAACGCGGTGCGGATGAGAGGAGACAGTCAGCTTGGTGAGCCGAGTCGTCGACACTGGTGGAGAGGAATCAACGGGTGACGTTGGTGGGAGCAGTCGCCGTGGTAGTAGCGACACAAGAGCTATAACGAGGCGTCTGAAACGTTGGGTTGGTTATACACATCTCCGTTGGCTGGGGGGGGGGGGATTCCACATTCCTATGGCGGGGACAAGTTGGAATGCCACAGTTTGAGTTACTTGCTGCACTCATAGTGACAATAAGCGATGGAGGGGGTGGGGGAGGGAGCGGTGGCGCTGTGGTTCGCGCACTGCGCTGTGATCTCGGCGCCCTGAGTGTCATTCCCCACCACGGCTGACATCAGTGGCGAGTGGCATCTGAACCGGGCTTGCCCCCCTCCCCCAATCCCCCTCCAACTCCTCACCGTCCTCAACTAACGAACGCGGTGAAGTATGGTCAAAAGTCCCCCAGCAACCGGCACGGCGTGGGTACACCAGCATTGGCTTGGCAAATTAGTGGAAATGAGCAACATTAATAGGATGATTGATTTTTAAACTGAGCAATAATACAAATATATAGTCGTTGACGTTTTGGCTGATAGGTCTCCTTCAGGACGGTAATGTTAGTTGCATAGATTTGGGATTCCCTGTTGAGTAGACAGAGGTAACTTAGTAACTTTATGCGGCAACATTTGACCACTTTCGTACCTCGTCGGAGTGAAACGCGCACAGAAATAAATGCAAAGACAACGGTGCCCCGTACAGCCTTAACAGACTGTTGGGGCAAGTGCTGTCAGCGAGCACCAACCGCAGGGGAGGCCGGCACGGCACACGAGGGGGGGTGGGTGCCCAGCACCACGCCCGGCCGCCTTTGTCTCCCTAGTGCCGATTTTTACACACCCAACCAGGTACTCATTTGAGGCTGAGTTGACCCAGGGGAGGCACCGGACCGGTTCCGGTAATCGTCACTGGTGTTGGCCGTGAGCGGGAATCGAACCCGGGTCGCTGGGCTCGTAGCGCAGCGTGCTGACCGCTACACCACCACCACCACCATCATCATCACGACCACCAGCACCATCATCATCATCACGACGACCACCACCACCATCATCATCATCACGACGACGACCACCACCATCATCATCATCACGACCACCAGCACCATCATCATCACGACGACGACCACCATCATCATCATCATCACGACCACCAGCACCACCATCATCATCACGACGACGACCACCATCACCACCATCATCATCACGACGACGACCATCACCACCAACATCACCGTCGCCACCCTCGCGACAGCGCCAGCCATCGCGACTCCTGCCCCTAACTTGACTGACGCCTCTCGCCGAGGCTGAGTCGACTTAGGGGGGGGGGGGGGGTTAGGGGGACCAGGACCGGGTTAGATAGTCGTCACTGGTATTGGCCGTGAGCGGGAAATCATTACACATGCACCCATATACTCATGCCCGAAGCAATGACAAAAGTATGCCCCCCCCGTCCCCCCGATGTAGCCTTGCAGACTATGTTGGGGCAAGTGCTGTTAGAGTGCTGGGCGGCGTGGTTAACACCGCTCCCGCACGCCTTTGTCTCCGACACTGATGATGCTTCACACACCGCGGCACTGATGATGCTTCACACACCGCGGCAGGAACTCATTCGAGGCTGAGTCGACCTAGATGGAAGCTCAGGACCGTTTCAAGATGCAGTATTTAGAAACACACACGCACGCGCATGTAAGAATACTGCTGCTGTCGTGGGGCAGTTAGCAAGCACGCTGGATTTTGCAAACCAGAGCCCCACTCGGGTTCGATCTCCGAGCGCGGCAGTTGAAACAACGGGACGGGGTTTTTTTTTAAATTGGGCGTTTAGGGGTAAAGTGTGATTAGCGTCTCACCAGATATTCCCCATTGTTTCAGCATTTCCACAATACTCCCTGCAGCATGCTTGTACTCCCTGAAGTTTAAGTATATCTCCAAGACTACATGCAGCATTACGGACTCCCTGTAGAGGGAGTCCCCCCCCCCCACGATAAGAGTACCTGCAGCATTAAGGACTCCCTGCAGAAACAGCGTCCCCCCCCCCCCCCCCCAAGACTCCCCTGTGGGATTTTAGACTCCCCGTAGTTGCAGTGTCTCCCCTGGGCTTTCTGGAGGATTACGGACTCCTCCAGGGATTAGCGTCTCAGCGGGACTCCCTGCTGTATCGATGTCTCCCCACCTCCACCCCCCACTCCCGTGTCTCCCTCCACCGCCGAATGGATGAACCATTGTAGAGGCGCGCGGCTGGGCGAGAGGCGTCAGTAAAGTTAGGGGCAGGAGTCGCGATGGCTGGCGCTGTCGCGGAGTGTGGCGACGGTGATGTTGGTGATGATGGTGGTGGTCGTCGTGATGATGATGGTGGTCGTGATGATGATGATGTGGGAAGTGGTTAGCGCTACGGTGCGCTACGAACCCGGCGACCCGAGTTCCATTCCCGCTCACGGCCACCAACACCAAGTGACGATTATCTGAACCGGTGCTGGGCCTCCCCTAGGTCGACTCAGCGTCAAATGAGTACCTGGTGTGATGTGTTAAAAAAAAACATCGCTCACGGGGGTACAAAGGCGGTCGGGCGCGGTGCTGGCCACCAAACCCGTCGTGTACCGTGCCGCTCACAGCACTTGCCCCTACCGTCTGTGTAAGGCTACATTGGGGGGGGGGAACTTTGGTGGTCGTGATGATGATGATGACAGTGGTGGCGATGATGTCAGCTCTAATCTGACACCGCGGGGAGGCGAGAGACTGTAGAGCGAGGCCAGGAGTCGCAGTAAAGAGTGTTTATTAAGACTCAACACTAAGACAAATATCTCCCGTGTAGTCTTGAACTGACTGTTGGGGCAAGTGCTGATAGCGGGTAGCACATATGAAAGCCGGCACGGCATACGAGAGGGTGGGTTAGCCAAACGTACTCCCGGTCGCCTTTCTCTTCCCAGTACGTACGCATCTTATCTTCTATAGATTTATATATCGCCTTAATCCAAGGCGCTTTACGACAATTATAAAAGTGTACATAAGATGATAGTGTTTAAAATAAACAGTGGAGTTTACACATCGCATCGTTTAAGGTTGAGTTGACCTAGGGGAGGCCCAGGACAGGTTCAAATATTGACCACTTATTGGTCGTGAGTTGGAATCGAACTCGGTGTGCCGGTCCCGCAGGGCAGTGCGGTGACCACTACACACACAACACAGTGAACAAAGACAAAGATCTCCCGTGTAGCCTTAACAGACTGTTGGGGCAAGTGCTGTTAGCGAGCACCTATGAAGGCCGGCACGGCACACGAGGGGGTGGGTATCCAGCAACACGCCCGGCCGCCTTTGTCTCCCCAATGGCGATGTTTACACACCGCACCAGGTACACGTTTGAGACTGAGTCGACCCAGGGGAGGCCCAGGAGGGTTACAGACAATCGTCACAATCGTGGTGTTGGTCGTGAAGCGGGAATCGAACCCGGGTCGCCGGGTTCGTAGCGCAGCGCACAAACCGCTACACTATCACGCAGTGATTTCGGGGTGACCTCTAAATCCCAGCGTATTAATTTGCAGAGACCAGTGTGGCAAAACCAATTATTTAATGCGGCATTGGGGGTGAAGGGGGCAATGGATTCGGGTCGCAGCGGGGGCGAAAAATGAACTATCTCATTCAGGAAGTCGTGGGTTCAAGTCCGACCCTGACGCCTGCTGCTGTATATTTGGAGTTGGCGGTCTCTCGCTCTCTCTCATCATCACGGTGGCTATGAAATGTTAACTACCTCGCCTGGTATACAAGAGGTCGTGGGTTCCATCCCGACCCTGACGCCTGCTGCTGTATATTTGGAGTTTGCGGTCTCTCTCTCTCATCATCACGGTGGCTATGAGATGTTAACTACCTCGCCTGGTATACAAGAGGTCGTGGGTTCGATCCCGACCGTAACGCCTGCTGCTGTATATTTGGAGTTTGCGGTGTCTCCGAATTTTTTTCTCTCTCCGGGTTTCCCCCCCCCCACCCCTCGACACTTATAATCGACATCACGCAGTTTAGAGTCTGCGGCTGCTGCTGTAAATGAAGCCACTCGCTTCGTTGAGCTTTCATTTGTGGCCAGGTCGCTTCTGGAAACGAGCTATATGGCTCGGTGGGCCTTACCTGGTAAAATACAAAAAAAAAGTTTCGTTTTTTAGTTTAGATTCAGCGTTCACAACGCCGCCCCCGTCAATACCCCCTCCCCCACCCACGATGATCCAACCAGCAGCAGCACAGCAGCGAATTCTGCGAGTTCCAACTCTCAGAAACCCACTCCCACACCCCCACGCTAAATGTCATCAACGTTGAAGCCTTCGTTCAGCAGTGGAAAACAAAGGTGCATGCCCCTGACCGCTCAGCAGTAAGAATACTCCGCAGGTGGTTGGGGGGGGGGGGGTAAAGTATGGCTACTCCTTCACGTGTAGCCAGCGTGGAAGAGTAGGCCAATTACCACGGTGCACCAGACAGAGTGTCTCTTATAGAGCTGCCTCTTGTGCAGTCCCTTCCGCCTGCAGTGACGTGAGCGGCGAGCAATTACCTTCACCCGCTGTTCCCTCGTTCCGATGAGTGGGATTTCTCCGGGACTCTGGACATCTGCGACTACTTGACATCTGTGAAAAAGCGCTTTATAGCTCATCGGATTCCTCCAGTATAAATAAAATATTCTGCTAAATATTTTTATTCCGATTCCTCAACTCACGCGCCTGCATACTCTAGAGGTATTCCCTAAACGCTCAAACGCAGGACCCTCTTGACAAATACTCTTGAGACTCACAAGAGGCGTGCCAAAAAATAAATGTCGGTTTAATGATCATTACCACTGCTACTACTGCTACTACGGTAGTGTGCATACTGTGGTTCGTGCAATGGTTAGCTGCTCCTGAGTGACGTTAGATTCTCGGTCACGGCTAATGTCAATTCAAGTGACGTCTCGACCGGTCCTGGCTGCGCCGCGTCCACCAACCCGCAATGACCAGTGTGGCGAAGTATGGTCAAATAACTCTCACGATGGACACGGAGTGGGGTGAAGCCTTCATACAGCAGTGGATTGACAAACAGGCTGAACACCGAGGCGATGTCTTCTTGTTGTGGTTATTTTTTTAAAGCAGAATTTAGGCCGTGACACACACGTGCCACGTAATGGCCAACGCTGTTGGGAACGCTGACGTCAGGTGGGTTTAATCACTCTCCGCGTGCAGCGAGAGACGAGTATTGTCCTCCCATCACCACAACACAATTCCGTTCCGTGCCGCCGAGTCCCAAGGCTCGTTTTGAAGGAGCGTCCTGCTTGAGACGTTTGGCCAATTGCATCAGAACAGCGACGTCCATTTCTAAAATCAGATCAAATCTATCGAGCCGAACTCCATTCTGAGTCTTCGCGCAGAATGACAAAGATCTCAGTCCACCTGCGTATTATTTACTGGCCTTTCCAGATAATGATTACCCAGCAGCAGGAGCGCAGAAGGGTGGTCACCACATCTACGCCTCTATATAAGGAACGAAACAGGTGGACTTCTCCACAAATCTGGCTGTCGCCTGATGAAGCTAGTTGTAATTACTTGCGAAACGTCGAACTCAGTTTGTAAATGTAGTGGCTTGGCTCTCCAACACACCGGTGTGCTATACTCGTCACGTTCTGTTTACGTGACAACCCTTACTAGTTGGCTGTGTCGGGTGGTGGCGGGTTTTAACGACACATTTATATATTTACGCGATCTAACCCAAAAAAACCCCTCTCTTATGGACCAGCAGCAATTGTTTAAGCGAACAAACTCTGGATTGTTTTTTTCCCCTAAGGGTCTCATCAGCAGTCGGGGCCTGCTGGCAAATGCTGCAGCATCACCAGGTGGGTTCGTGTACATTATTGGAATAGTTAGGCTAGCAGGTAGGTAGGGAGACAGGTAGGCGGGTAGTTAGGTTAGTAGGCGGCCAGGGAGGTTGATATGAATGTAGAAGGTAGGCAGGCAAGTATAAATACAGGCCACCAGTTTGGCAGGCAAGGCAGGCAGGAGGTAGGCATACTGGCACGTGGGTGGGTATGTATACAGACAGGAAGATATATGGACAGGCAAATCGGCAGTAAGGTAGATAGGGTATAAATGTCAACTGTGTAGGTATGTACAGAGACAGGCTGGTAAACAGACTGGAAGGCAAACATGTAGGTGGGGTATGTAAAGGTAGATAGGCAACTAGGTAGGCAGGTAGACCTATATTGAGGTGGGCGAAGGAAGAAGGCATCTGGGTAGCCACGCACTCAGACAGGGAGCTCAATAGTTGGCGAGCATTTATGAAATAGTCACGCGACAGTCCCGTTGGAGCAGTGAAACCCCTTCTGGAGAGGCACACACGGACAGACACGACGACGATGTCGACGAAGAGGAGGCGAGGACTCGACCCACCGCCCATGTGTGACTCACTCACTCTGCCGTCAGACCCCGGTCGCCTCCGTATTTTGACAACGCTAAGCCGCGGGACACACGCACACGGCGAGCAACAGCGCCCACCACCCCCACCCCACCTCCTCCTCCTCCTAAACGCGTGCGCAGGGACAATTGTCTCGGTCTGACCATCTCTACCCCCCCCCCCTCCCACGTGACCTCACAACCTTCCGAAACACCCCCCCCCCCGCCACTTGCAATACATATACATACAGACACACACACGTAAATTAACTGTTGGAGCACGTGCTGTATTAGCCAGCACGCCGCGAGCCCCGGCGAGACGCCGCTTGTGCATGGACAGTCGCCTCTCGCCAGTCCCCTCGTCCCCACCACCACCACCACCACCAAAACACACACACACAAGATCCCCCCGTATAGCCTCAACAGGCTGCTGGGGCAAGTGCTGTTAGCGATCACCTATGAAGACCGGCACGGCACACGAGAGGGTGGGTGGCCAACACCACGCCCGGCCGCCTTTGTATCCCGAGTGGCGATGTTTGCACACCGCACTAGGTACTCACGCACAACCACTGCAGGCACGTACTCTCGCAAACACACACAGAGGGGCAGAACACCACACGAGTGGAGCTCCCTCAAGTTGGGAGATCCTTCCGCCAGCAGTGGCCGCGAGCAAGCAGACGCAGGGCTTTGCCTTTACCTTCGCAAAACCACACACACACGCGCACACATACGCGCACGCACGCACGCACACACGCACGCACGCACACACACGCACGCACGCATACACACGCACGCACGCACAAACGCACACACAGGGAAACACATTCTGCCGCTTCCAGGTGGTAGCCCTCAGGCTGAGAAGAAACGGGGAAATCACCACGACACCCCACCTCCTGCTCTCAAACCCCCCCACGGGCCACGAGTCGCTGTGGATCCAGGTTCCAGACCCTGGTGCCACCCACCCCTCAGCTCCCCCCACCACCACCACCACGCAGCACACCTGGGGGAGGGGGGGGAGGGCTTGAGCCACGGCTAATTGAGGCACGCGCGGCTCACGAAAGGTCGCAAACTCTGCGGATCGAGCGTCACAACGTTTTTCGGATCAGGCCTCGTCGCTTTTTCAGGTTGTTATTTTGCTTGTTGTTGTGTTTGTCAAACAGATTTTCTTGTTCGTGTCTCCTCCCCTGGTATGGTGGGACTTATTTATTCATTTTAACCCGCTCGTAATGTTTTGTTTTTTTACGCGGAGAATTATATTTCACTTTGTACCGTCGCCTGTGTCGCGTTGACACGAGACGGTGACGTTACCAATTGGGACATCTCCGCAGTGAGAAGTGCACACCGGCGCGCGTCACATAATTGGGTGTCCCCCCAGTAGGTGACCCAAGTGACAAGACCTTGCGAATCGCCTTTTCGTCAATCTACATGCCCTGCACTGAGCGTTCGTCGCATGTCAATCAAACCGAAGTGTCATTTTCAGAGCTGGAATTTTATCAGAATTAAGTGACAAATCAAGTTGAATACCGTAGCTTTTTTGTTTGTTCACGCGTAGCCGTTGATGACCGGGTTGAGACATCAACTCGTTACACTTGAGCACCTGGTTTTACCACGAGTGGCCGAAAGCCCAATTTGAATTCTGGACCTCGGCGGCGTCAGCTGTGTTCCCTTCACGGCAACCGTGGTGAGCCCCTTGAGCCATTCCGGAGGGGCCTCAATCCTGAGTCCAACCCTAACCCCAAGCCCCTGTTGCAGCAGCAGCAGCCACGGAAGCGTGGACCCCCTAATCCCCGAGGACCCTAAATTGTCAGAATGTTGTTGTTGTTGTTGCGACCAGAGATTGATGGCTGCCCTGTCACTTCGGGCCACTTAGAAATCTGCGGAAGTGCAATGCGGTGTGGCCATTGATGTGGGGCACGCACGTTTCCTTTTAGTGTCGTTGAATTAAATGCTTTATAAAAGCACGGCAGATACAAGGTTGGGTCATCGTATACCAGTGAACATTACGTGCTACGATATGTGGATCAGAGGTGGATACTAAACACCAATTTAATAGCTGATCAATTCAGAAAGAAACACGGCGAGGAACACACAAAACAGAAAATATCAACAAGTTATAGACATCACGTTGCTTTGAGCAAGATATGTCACTGATGATGATGATTGGTGGTCGAGATTAGCGATGGAGTGCTAGCCAAGGGAGAGGAAACACAGCCCAGGGCACGTCCCCCCACGGACACGGAGTGATGACACCAGCTCGTGCACACACATCGTGGATTGAAGCATCGGCAGGAGATGTCAGCGGTTTGGGGAGCTCCACATCCAGCAGTGGACAGGTAATGGGTGGTGATGACGATGATGACGATGACCTTTAAAGTATTTTAGTGACAGTGCAATCCGGCAACTTTCAGATTCATCAAGAGGCCAGTCTAATCGAGCAACCGAAAAGCAAAAAAAAACCCAACAAATCCGCACGCTAGAGTTGACGCGAAACAAGTTGATTTATTGAAAAACATTCTCGGAGGTGTCCTCGCTCTGGTCAGTGACGCACGCACACACCCACGGGTGGGGCGCCTCCCCCTTCACCTTCCCTGCCCATTGCGCACCGGAGACAACGCAGCCGTGGCTGCGCACGCTCCACAAAGTGGCAGGTGACCTCGCCGTGAAACATTTTAATAATCGACCCCGCAGGTAACCATCGCAAATACGCCTTATTCATGGGGTGAGTCAACGGCACGACGCGAGCACTAAAATGAGTTCATCATCGCCATCCCAGTGTGGTGCGACAACGATGTCGTTTCGCCACCGGTAGGTCCGTCGTCGCGCTATTTTACGAGCCGCTTCTCCCCCTTACCCGAGGGGGACGGCACAAGTTGTTATTTACATCTGAATTAGTTGGTACACGACACGCAAGTAAAACAAAAAAAAAGCCGCTCCGTGATCACGCCAACGACTGCCTGCGTATTTAAAATGTCAGAAATGTACGTCCGAAACCGGGGCCCCCGTTATCTGCTCGCTCGAGAGCTTCCCACGATCGACATTGAGTGATGGTCCACCTGGGGGGGGGGGGGTCAGATACCAACCTTAACTACCGGTAGGCCAATGGGAGATGGCAAAAAATGAGCTGTTTAAGTAAAAACAAATCCTACAAAATCAAATAAATAATGACAAGCTAACACGTCGACACCGTTACCATGTTATTTCGTGGCCACACAGGGGAGACGATTTGTGCAGCGGGTAGCGGGCAGTGTGCTATGGACCTGGCGACCTCATGTTGATTTCCAGCCACGGCTACCAGCAGTGGCGAGTGAAATCTGAACAGTTGCTGGGCCTGCTGCCCCTTCACCAACTCAATGATCGGCGTGGTGACGTATACTCAAACAACCTGCTACGACCGATACAGTTGTGGAGAGGCCTTCATCCTGCAGCGGAGAGACCATGGCTGATGATTATTTTGGTGGCGACTGATGGTTTTTCCCATCATCATGCTGCACCTTCTCTGCTGTGGCGTTGTGGTCAAAGGGCTAAAAAAGTGAGATCAGAGGTCAGAATTGGCAGCCGAGTCGGCAGCATCAACAGAACGGTCACGCTAACCGCCAGACCCCCCCGAGGGCAGGGTGCATAGCGACTCACCCGCTGGAGATCCGGTGAACCCTCGAAATTTTGGGGTCGCGTTTCAAATTAAGAACATATTCATACTCATCGTTTTATTTGCATTATTTCCGTTTATTCCCCCCGTCTCGTTCATACATTTTTGTTTTTTAACGTGAGCAAAATTATCTGAATGCAAGTTTCACAAACCTCTAAATGCGACTGCACGTTAAATGTTGTGTTCGCAGCGTGGGCAGAAGAACCGGGTTTAATCAATGGACCGACGTTTCGTTACATGCCTAGTGAAGGCCATCCCATCCCTAGAGGCAGTAAGTCTAGGAGCCGTGTTTATTTGGACAATGGTTTGACGTGACCTCTCACAGAACGCCAAACTCTTCACCCTATCAGAGGTGAGCGACACTCCCGTCAATCGTCAATCGCTGTCCCTCGATCTATTTTTATTTTTCTTCTTCTTCTTTTCCTTCTTCTTCTTCCTCGCCTGCTCGACGTCTCCGCTCGGCAGGTCGCGCTCTGCGCTCTCCTCGTCGTCTTCTACGGGGTTCGCTCTCTCCACCTCCTCCTCCAGCTCCTCTCTCCTCCTCCTCTTCTTGTCCTTCTTCCTCTTTTTCTTCTCGCGCACGCTAACCGCGGCATCCTCCGCTAACTCGGGGCCACCGTCCTCGCCCTCGGGCGGCTGCAGGGCCCGCGGATCGCCTTCCTCGCCGCCTGGCACGTCACCCGCCATCGTCCTCTTCCTCCCGGCCCGGCTCGTCCTGCCCGGAGTCGCTTCGCTGCGCCCGTCCTCCACGGCCGCCGCCGCCGCCGCCGCCGCAGCGCCGCGCCGGGCGTCCGCCATCTTCCTGGCAAAGTACTCCTGCACGGACAGCGCGCTGGTGGTCGTGCGCAGCCCGTCGTCGGCCTCCGGCTCCACGGGCGGTGGCGACGGAGACTCCGAGACGCACTGCTCTTCCTCGCTCTGCGCACGTGGGTGAACGCACATACACATACCAGTGAACACACGTGTACATGGGTGAAGACACACACACACACGTGTGAACACGTGGACATATGCACATTCAAGTGCAAAAAAGCAAAGATCCCCAGTGTAGCCTAAAAAGACTATTGGGGCAAGGTTCCGTTCACGAGCACCTAAGAAGGGCGGCATGGACAAAGCGAGGAAAAACAATTGCACGCACACGCATGCACACGCACACTCGTGTGTGTTAAATGACAGCTAGCTGCGGCCTGGATTCAAACCTTGGAGCTCAGTAGTGCCGACTCTGTTACCTGAGCCTCCCCGAGTGGAGGAGGAGCTTAATTTTTTTTAAAAATACGAAATACAGTGTGGAAGTCAGAAAGTTATCCGCGTGATGTTCACCTTTTCCTCGCATCACGATCAACCCTTACCAGGGCCAATAAAATGTACATCTCGCTCACATGCATACGGCCACACAGAAAGAACGCTTACAAATGGCCACGGATCGGAACACGGAAACCGCAATCTGGGGAGACCAGACAAGTAAAACAACAATTTTATTTATTTTACAAACTATTATTTTACCAAGTAAGGCCCACTGAGCTAATAGCTTTTCATCAGAAGCCACCTGGCCACAAATGATAGCTCAACAAAGTGGTTTATCGTAACGAGGAAACTTATAGCAGCCAAATACTTTAAATGCACGTTTCTAAGTGGGAAGGGAAAAACCGGAGGACCCGGAGAAAAATCCACGCGACCACGGGGAGACACGCAAACTCCAAATATACAGACGTCAGGGTCGGGATCGAACTCACAACCTCCTGTATAACAGCCAAGGTAGTTAACATCTCGCCACCGTGGTGCACACCAGTAAGGAACAAATCACACCCCTCCATACTCCCAAAGATGCAACGAATCGTCACGAGGAGTCTGAGTCCCTGGTTATCTTTCGTTATTTGATTGCTGCAGGTGTACAATCGATTGTGGTGTAAATTCGTGAAGGTGAATAAGAATACACAATGGTATGAATCTGCAGACTCGACAGGAGTTGTAAATATTATAGAATCCACACGTACAGAATCCATAGTTGTATGAATCTGTAAAATCCAGAGGGGTAAATCTAAAGATGTGACAGCGGTGGGAATCTACAGAATCCACAGCGGTGTGAATGTATACAATCATGATAAAAGTACGACTGCAATCTTGCGGAGTCTTCGCGCGCTTAATGTTTCCTAGAGACTCAGCACCTCCCACCGTAAATCATCCTCTCTGTCCTCACCCCCACCCGACCCTAATCGCAGACCGTGCTACACAGCGATCGTCTCGGTTAAAGGTTAAACCCCGTCGCTCGAGACTTCGGTGCCAAGGATGAACCTTTACTGCTTCCCGTGATGTCAGCCAGCGCCCTCAACGGCAAACAACCGTCGCGATCTCTCCGCCGCCGTTTTTGGGCTGCACCGCGTGTTGTTCGGCGCGGCGCTCGACGTTTCGCGCCGCGGGATTCTCTCGAGATGGGAAACGTCGGACAGCATGCTGTACGACGAGCGGGACGACCTGAAAGCGCATAGGAGGAGAGTTTCATGGCATGACCACGAAAATACTTACAAAGCGGGAATTTTTTTCATACATGGGCATCGTCATGATCATCATCATTTGACCATTGATTTATCGAAAGATGTTCATGTTCGCCACGATGCTCCCACTATTCATCCGTCGCGCCACTTTTGCGCCGTGGACCAAGCGGATCGCAGGGAGTCATCTCCGTGCGTACGATGGTGGCGATGGTGCCGCAAAAGCGAGGCCCTTCAAACTCCATGCCTAGCAGTCTTCCGCGCGACAGTTCAATGGCAGCTGATTGTCAGAGAGCCCCAAGGCGGGGGGGGGGGTAGGGAGATGGGGGTGGGGAGATGAGAAGATGGGGAGATGGGGGTGGGGAGATTGGGGTGGGGAGTCGGGAGGGCAGCACCTGACAGCTAATTGCGGGCGGCGGGAGACGAGGCACGCGTCCAGGTGCCCTTCTCGTAGCCCGCGGGGTTGCGCTGGACCCTGGCTTGCGCGGGGACCAACGCCAGGCCCCGCCAACGCCCACTGACCCCCATCACTGCTCACCTGCCGCTGCATGCCTGCCTGCTCTGCCTGCCTGGTGCGTTTACATGTTAAATGTAAAAAAAAACACTGTTGCGGAGCATGTTTACTGCTCAAAGCGAGTAAACAAATATCATTATGGCCGTTTCACAGCAGCCTAGAGGGTTGGCTTGGCCCTGCGGAGGTGTCTTAAGATTTCTCCCTGATAACGCCACTTCGGAGCGAGAGGAATATAGGGTTACGAGCTCGAAGCGTGACAACATTCCGCAATCGACGCTTATCAGGCGCCTGGCTTGGCACCCTTGACAGACCGCTCTTGTAAGTATCCTTTATTTGATGAAATATCGGCCCAATGAAACGCAAGACACAATTGCCTCTTTTGCAAGCGGCGACCTGAAAATGACGAAAACCGTCGAGGTTTGTGCCATGGTGACAATCGTGTGTTTTGTGGCAGCAGCGGTCGTTACAGGAGAGGTTGTGAGTGGGGATGATTGGCTGTTGGCCTGCGCCCAAGGAGAAGAAATGACAGTTGACAGGCGGCTTATATAGGGGCTGGCCGATAACCACCCCAGGGAGCAAAGTTTAAGATCTAACGCTGGTACACCGTAGCTGCTGATCTCACACACACACACACATAGTGTGTCCAGACAACGTGGCTGGCCAAATTAAAATCACAACAAAAAGCTACAAACAGCTCTTATCGTGCAGCTACGTTCCACGAGGCTGTGTCCCAGAGGCACGAGGTCGAAGCTTATTTCGTGAGAATCCAAAAACGACGGAACGTCGAGCTCAAGAGCGCCATCGTAGCACGCTCGAGAAATGTCACCGTGGCGCAACCGCTGCACATTGATAACGTGCATGGCATGCGCGGTGCACGTTGGCAGCCTGCACTATCGCTACGTTAGCACGTAATATGGCGCACTGTGGGAGCCGCCGCATTAGGGGAGCGCAGGCACTGCAAATAGGTTACCACACATGGTGCATTATGGGAGTTGGTCATGAAAGGCAAATGGTGTTGTGGTGCATTCCGGGAAAATGTGAAAACGGGAGAGTCGGCGCGAGCGGAGACTAGACGGGGTTTTTGAGGTGAATTGGCAGTTTTATTAGACCGCGACTTTTCCGTGGATCAATGTTGCGTTGGCAACGGGTGAAACATTCAGATATTCTTGTGGTTTTATTTGGTTAGCCCCCCCCGCCCACTCCGGCCTTTAAACTTGGCCCTGTTTGGCATTCGCTAAGAGAAGCAGGTGCAGCGGTGACCGGATCGCGGCACGAAACACGCGGAACGGAGGGCGTTGCGGCGTTTTAAGCAAATTCTCGCTTAAAACAAAACATAATCCTCGCTGGGGCTCTGGGCAGAGGCGAGATTTTCGAGCGAGTGAGCGATGGAGCGAGCGATCCAGCAGCTGGTTTCCGATCGCACGTGTCCCCTCGTTGGTGCCGGTGGACCAACGGGGGCACCGCTCAGCAGCGTCGCGAAAACCAGCGCCACGGCGCGCATAGCGGCCACGTGATCTTCGCATGCCACCGCACATTGGGCTACGCGATCCCCCCCCTCCCAACTCAACTGGAACAGTGTCGGCAAATCCCTCGCTACCGTGCGGGGGCAGAGGAGTCAAGTGCACGGAGGGATGGGAGGAGGGGGAAATGGAAGCTATCTCCGAATGCCAAGCGTAGAAGTGGAGCACCCCCCCCTCCTGCCACTTCGGGAACGGCAAATTACACGCTTACACGCGCTCGCTGAGTGACGGCTCTTAAGCCGATCCACGCAACCTTTCTGCCACGAATGCAACACGGTCACGGCAGGGGTTGCACCGCTCCCCGCCTCAATCCCAACACCCCCCCACCCCTGCAATAAGCAGTGTCTGTGATGCAAGCGCCGTACGCGTGTCTCGTGGCAGCTGCGGAAGATTAATTCAGAAAAGACTGCGTCGTGTGGGCACGCACACACGCACGCTCCACGCCCACCGGCCGACAATGTCACAAAGACCGCGGGCTTTAACACAATTACAGTGGTGAGTGTGTAATTTTCAAAATGGGTACGGTTCGAGGAGGAACAGAGGTAGGGGATGGGGGTTGTGAGTAAACGAGCTAATAATCGAGGGTGGAAAAAAAGTGTTTGGCAATAAGCGAGGTTCATTATCTCATTACCAGGATTTTGAGATTCTATTGTGGTTGGACCGAAGTCAAAGGTCACCATGAGTCAAGGCGGTGCAGAACTGATTTTGAACGAGAATATTTTTTGTTTGTGTGCGGTGGCCGGTGACCGGAACAAGGCCATCGACTTCGCTGCAGCACTTGAGAGCCGAGCTTCGTCACGGACCGCTGACACCGGGATGGGAACCGTGACCCGCCGTGGTGCTGGACCGGCACTCCCACCTCCGAGCCACACGGCGCGGTGCTCATTCCACATGCGCCTCGAGGAGGATGTAAGATAACGATGATGTTGATAACGACGGCAATGAGGATGACAATGTATCATGATGATGATGGTTATGATGATGATGGTTACATCATGTGACCACGAGGAAGATAATCGTGACAGCGATTATAATTGCGCTCATGATGCCGACAACGATCGCCATAATCCAACGATCGCCATAGCATTCATTCTGATGAATGCATTCGACAACAGCGATGGGGGCGGCGCCCTTGCTCTGAGCGGGCCCAGCGCTCCACCGAATGGGGCACCAACACACAGGTCGCAAAGTCAGGCAAGAGAAAAATAAAGGGCACCGTGAATGAAGGTGTTGCGACACGATCTGCGGCGCTGCGCGCCCGACGCCGGCATTGCGTGGGCGTGCGAGCCACATATCTGGCGTGGTTGGCATGCCTCTGGATGAAACTGCACGAGCTTTTTATAACCGCGGTGTTTTGTAGCTGAAATGGGACATTCTGCAATGACCGGCGGGGGT